CGAGGAGGTAAGCCTAGCGTATTCAGCAGAGAATTCCGCATGTTTTGCCTTTGTGTGTGCGGCCAGATCAGTGATTCGAGCTACCCAGAATGGGACATTGTCTGAGATGTATGTGAAGCATTGGAGCGCATCACCCGTACGCCCACCCATGATGATTCGACTGTGATGATATACAACAGGGAGAAGTCGAACCAGAGTGACTATAATCGGGTTCTGGAGTCGTGGTTCATAAAGTCATGGAATTAATATAAACATATAAATAGATGATATTTCTTGGTCATAAGGCGGTCTGAGAAGAATGAGCAACGAGGAGAAAGGGGAGAAATAGGCGGTTTCAATGCAGACTATGCAGACTTTTCAGTCAAGAGATATAGTTCTTCTCTTGGAGGACATGAGTGGGAAAAGGCCGAACGTAGTCGAGGTTAAGAGATCACGGATAGAGCAGGTTGACCGATCTCAGTATGATGGATATAAAATGAGCAGGATTTCCACCTGCTATGTATCCCGTATGCAATGTGGTGGTAGTAGAAGTAGTCGTGGAAGGTTATGAGGATGTAAGGGAAGGACAAGAGAGAGTGTGTGTGTGAGGGAGAGAGAGAGAGAGAGAGAGAGGTATGAATAATGGATGCTGGTTGGACGAACAGGTGATGGTAGACGATCCAGCCTACTGCAGCCAGGGCATTAATCGCCATAATAATAATGATAATATTATTAGCAGGCCAAGCCGAGACTCCCCAATACGAACAATGCGAGTGGTTCCACTCACTAGCTCCGTGGAGCCCCGGGGGCCTTTTGCCTGCTCCAGACCCACTCCCCACTGTCCTTCCCCCCCCCCCCCCCCCCCATCATCCCCCATCATCATCCCCCAAATCATCCCCATCATCCTTCACCCCATAACCTCTAGGCATCGGCGGGCCCCGTGGCTATCACTCGCTCCGTCTCCCGCAGAAATGACAGGATCCGCTGGTGCTAATCGAAGTGTCCGGTAGCGTACGGATGTCCTGTACAGCGCTGTACTGTCTCTAACCGACCTCCATCACTTACTTCACATGCGCAAGAAGGTACTCTTCGTATTAGGGGTGTCATACACAGGACAGTACAGGACAGGACAGTATCTCTCTCTCATAAGAGCCTGGCTTTTTCGGGGCAATCATGACAATACCACACACACCCTGTCACAGAAGCTCCTAGTCCTGCTTGCTGGGCCAGGACTAGGAGGTGCTATCTGGCTTAGTTTGGCGTTAGAGCGCTGTTAGGGGTCCCCCCCCGGAGATAGGATAGTAAAGCCGGTGCAAGCTGCAGGTAAGGGATTGGGGTGTATAACACTCCTTGCTGTTCTGGATCCTAGGTTGAGCGGGCGAGAATGGTTGAATGGTGGGTGGATGGATGGTGTGGCAGTGACCAGCGATTTCCAGCGAAAGAAATCGAGGATTAGTTGTGGTTAAGGTTGTAATTTTATTTCTCGTCCCAACACTTGTTCCATCTGACGAGTACGATAAACACTCTCAATTCTGACAAGCCGAGAAATTGACTTGTTTTTTTTTTTTTATGTTCTGCAGCGGACTTGTCTAGGCTTGTTAATTACATTCAGCTCAACTGGGGAAATGGCACAGATCAAGGTACTTGGATATTTGAAGGGGCAATACTCAAACAGCAATGCCCAAACATGAGGATATATTGGAAATATATTGCACAAAAATACCGTTTGCGAAAATCCTTTTCTACCTAGTTCATAACACATCCCCGCGTCCATTGAATCCTCAAGACAGACAAGCTCCGGTTCAAAAACATAAACATTCATCCATTCACACATCCTCCACACACAGGCGACATCATCATCATCATCATCATCATCATCATCATCATCATGATTGAGCAATCTTTATCTTAGTGCTGCAGAATTCTGCAGCACCATGAACCAAGTTTGTTGAAGCAGGCATCAGACGAAGATACAGTCGCAAAATTCAGGCGGTGAGTGAGGGAAAGCAGAGGGATCCCCGACCGCTTGCGGACCTTCTACGAAAGGAGTCCCACTCCCTCTTCTATGATTCAGTCAGCCATCCAGACACCAGTTTACCCGTCAAAGATTGATGATTCTGGTCATCCTTGAAAAATCCTGCAGGAAAAGGAAAAAGTGTGCGCATGGCAGGAAAATCTAAGTAAACAATCTTTGCTTTGCTGTGGATCGCAGATCATAGTCCTGCAATCAATTTAAAAGTATTATTCCTGTGCGCGCACTGCGAACTTGGTGGGGAAAAGGATCCATGTCGTAAACCATCTGGCTGCCACCATCATAATCTTCCGTGACTGATAGTTTAACAAACTTTTGACTCGACTAGTCACTGCGGTTGTGCATGACAACCCCCAAGCGCAAGACGCATCAACATCCGAAACGGCCTTGATGACCCTATCAAACAAGGAGACATTGAATAGGCAAAGAGAGCAACCTCAGGGCTCCGTGCAGATGATTTCGTTGTCAACTTGGCCTGCACGGACTAATACGCAAAGACTCCGTCTGACTGCTTCGGTAGTTAACTTATGATGCGCATGGCGCCGTTGAAAATGCGTAGAAAGGGTATCCCGATATCATCCTTCAATATCTTGGCTGTATGAGAAGCATGGATATTTTGACGTTTTTTGATGTTTCGCGACTCGCCTCCCCTCTCTGCCTCTGCGTCTCCGTGATCCTCATCTCGCACTGCCTTTTCGTCTGCTTGGTGCTCAAGAAACAGGGAACCACTCGCAGACCCCCTCTCCACGAAATTCAAAAGTCAATATCAAGGAATGTATACTGTTTCATTGTAAGTTGCTTTCATATCGTAACTGATAACAATAATACTACTACATGCAGACGACATGTGCCCCTCATCTCATCTTGCAAACAGCTGGTTTGGAGGGAAGCGAGACAACCGAAGAATGTTCCGTACTGCATCTTTTTTCTTCACAACCTCAAAAACAACCTTAGAAAGCATCAACAGAACAAAATATCTTTCAATGAATCCTCGCTATAATTAAAAGAAAAAAGAAGTGGTAAGAAATCCACTCAATTCATTTTATATTCTTTGCTTCTTGAAGACAGTCTTCAATAAACCAAACGCATCCATGCATGCGCTTACTATTGGAGGAATACCAAGATCCATTTTCTTCTTCTTCTTCTCTCTCTATCTACAAATAGAATACAAAAAATAAAAACCGAAAGAAGGTTGTAGCCTGACTCTTCGAAACAACAGCCCCAGCTTTATGTATCATCATTATCCCCTCCTTCAATGACGAAGTCGTATGGATGATGCATGGGGACCGGCGCGACCACGTTCTCCAGCTTCTTCGTGTTCAAATCTCCTTTTCATGGTCTGCGCAGGGATTGAATGATGTCTCATGGAGGCAGCGCTGAGATCCTTGCTTGTTTTCCCAGGTTGAACCCCACATCTTCACCTAGTTATGTGCCCCCAATCCTCTTATTATTGATATCTGTCTGTCTGTCTGTCAATATGGTGGGTTGTTTAGTGCTGCCTCGCAGGAAGCCAAGGCTAGGGTTGTGGAAGGAATAAACAAAGCCGAAAAATGACGGGATTCGTAGAATAGTTAACAATATTAGTAGATCCCAACAACAATCCTGGATTCAGCAACTGGGGGGGGAAGAAGACGCTCCTCAAAATGCATAATTCCTAAGCTGCGGATATCCGCTTTGTAACTTGGTTATTACCATCTGCGTTTCTCCTACTCCTTGTGACCTCGCAATCTGCCATACGGTGGAAGACATGTGAACATGGGAAGTACTCCGTATTACAGCCTGATATTTATATCAGATATTGAAATGTTCAACAAGTATTCCCCCTTGTTTTTCCGCTTTGTGCTCCGTGCTCAGTTCAATGATGTCAAAAAAAAAAAAATAATAAAGAAACCAGTGGTAGCCATCAGGTGCAAATTTAGGCAGTTCGAGCAGGGTTGGTTCAGGCACAGTTTTTGATCGATAGCTCAATTTTCAGATCATTTTCTAGACACACTCCTCAGATTCGAGTCAACACATATCACAATTTCATTTAGTTGTTCAGCTATTACTACAATTGCAAGCGACTTCACCATGGGCTTAGCGGGGCGTTGGGTTTCAGGATAAGTGGATAGGAATGACCTGAGAAATACAAGTCCTAATGGTGCCCTTGCTTAAAACCCACTCCTCGTAATGGGTGCGCCACACCAAAACGATCAAAGTACATTAAATGTTGGATGAGAACGCACATTAAAAATACTTGTACAAAATATTTAATTTCATCACCAACCATATCAGATATGGGCATGAAGGTGACATATGAAGATTTCAAACCTCAGATAATAGCTATACTGAAGGACATATTTTTTTCGTGAAAATAGCTCATGTTCTCAAATCTGAAAATAAACACACTGAAATTCTATGCAAAAGTCAAAATTTTCACAATAAAACAGTGAAACAGTGGAAAATTAATTTTTTGAAGTGTATTCCTATCATAAGATATCCATTGTTTGATATATCTATATCCTTCATATAAAGTTATATCAAATGAAGTTTGTATCTTTTATATGTGATTCTCATATAAAGTATACCTATTTTCACTTTTATTGATAGAGTTGGTGTGTTGAGCGCATGGATCTCTGCTTGAGGATTGGCCTGTAAGCTTATATGCACAGCTCTGCATCCTGTGCTCAGGCCATGAACTCCCAAGATCCTTTTCAAACCTGAGCACGCAGAGACGCGGATGAGAGTGAGGAACAGGATCCTCAAGAAGTATAATCTTTCTTCAGATCTTCATGTTATCAACGTAACGACTGAATATCTTAGTCTTAGGCATTTACATTCGAAGTTTCGTGAGACCGGTCAATCTCTCGCTCAAGCATATTCGTTGTCCTGCGTTGTCAAAAAGCGCTCATCACCATCGATTTCGACGATTTAGCCTGCAAACCAAAATGATACCCTCTTCTTCATCTGGGGGGAGAACTTGGAGACATGTGCTCCAGAAACCCTTGCAATGAAGCTTGTGAGGCGACATTGCAACGGAAATGTCATAGAAGCCCATGATGTTGCCAGGGGTTCCTACAATCGGTGTTTCCGCGTGAAATTCGATCAAGGACACCACTGTCCGATTCTCAGAGTTGGGGGAGATCTTTTCTTCTCAGGGAAAAGATTAATGATGAGATGGCAGTCATGAAATACATTTCCGGCAGCTAGCCTGCAATTCCCATTCCTAAAACATGGGGGAAGGGATGATGTGTTGTCTGTCTTTATATTGTCGTGGATTATGTTTGATGGTGAATTACGGTGTGACTATGTTGGGGGAGTCATAACCAGAAAACAAAAAGCCTTTTGACTCTGAACCCTAGCATCGACATAGCCACATTGGAAATGGCATATCAGTAAATGGCACTCATAACTCTCGCCATGCTTAATTGGAAGCTTACACGCATTGGCGCTTGGTTTTATTTGGTTGCAGGTCTAGTTTTGGTTTTGATGACATATATTGGAATTTCATAGATGAGATGTATTTTGGGGCTTTTACGAATCTGGATGGTCGGTTGGATCTGCTCAGCAATGCGGAGCGAGATGAGTTGGGTCCTTTTGTTCAGCAGAAGATGGAGCAGGAGAAGGAGCAAAAGCTAGATAGACGTGCATAGGATGCTGTATGAAAGAAATCATAAATCAATAGAAGGGGTTAACACTGCTTGCTGATAGTTTCGATAGGACGTTGTGTAGTGTATAACCACAAACGATGATCAACAACCATATTTCCTCTTGCATATATGTCAAAATATTTGTCTGGTACAAGCATTCTTAATCCGCCAATTTTCCCGATACGACAGGTTAGGTTGGTGTCAGGGATAGGAGTACAAGGGCTACCAGTGTCGGGGGGTAAGAAGCTGAAGACATCTACCCGAAGCGGGAACGAGATAAGTACCTAGGTACACAACGTTGGTTCCGACTGATCTGACTGGAAGTTGGGTTACTGTCCAACTTTCTGCTGTCGTCGTTCAAATCCGAACTCATCATCTTAAGGGGTTATTTTGAACCATTTTAAACCTTGACTGTGATAATATAGGCTGTCAGGCATGCTGCACTGAGTTACATACCAATTTGAAAGCTACTATATCTGCAGGGCCTCCCTTCACAAGAAATGCAAGGCAAGACCTCGATCTGCCCTGGAACAATATTCCCCAGGGAGTACTGCTGATCGTCATTCAAATGGAAAGAAATTCTATTTCTAATGTGTTGGTTTCGAGCCGAGAAATACCAATAGTCTACTCTATAACCCTCCAATGTGTTAAATCAAATCTGGAAAGAATACTTTGCAATATGGCAAGAAATAATGAAGGTGGTTGTCCGGGGTTGGCTTAAGTCTTCTGTTAAGAAATCCGATATGTTCCTAGAAACCTTCGGCCATCATCATTTATCAACCAGCTAATCGGTGACTGAACCCTTGGTGGAGAGAAATGCTTCTTGGTTGGGTATTGCCATCCATCACACATCTCGGGAGACCAGAATGACGCTAATCCACATAATCTCGTGATGTTTCAGGCATTTTGGTGATAACGGGAGACGTAGAGGGGAGAAAACCCCTTTGTAAAATTGAAAATCTATACGAAGTTTGCCAAACTCCCTCTGCCCCCTATTTCACCCAACGCGAAACCACCACACAACACACGAAACCAAACAAACAAAACCTGGGAGAAGGTGAAAACCAAAGGCACCGTCCAACCAGCCCCAACCTACTCCCGGTCTAAAACAAACAAAAGGCGATGTTAGCTCTCTCCCAAACACATTCACACCGCCCATCTCATACAGAAAATATACATACCCTTCCTCGCATGCTCCAGCCATGCCGTCATGTGCACCTTGACATCGTCAAGGGCACCGGCAGCGTCTGCCAGCTTCCTCTCTGCCATCTGTACCAGCCGGTCCATCTCCCGGGAGAACACGACGTGGACAGACTCCTCTATCGCCCGCCGCAGATTGGTGGTCGAATAGCCTTTGTTATTCACGGCTGTGGCGGGACGAGGCGCTGCGGTAACCATCGTTGTGTCCCCACTGGCGGTGACGGTGGCGGTGGCGGTACGGGGAGTAACCGTCGGCTCTTGTTCCGTTTCCGACACAACAACTATATATATATCAACATAGTTAGAGATAAAAGAGGTCCGGGGAGCATATCAGGGAGATTATATGCACGGAAATTCAAAGAACATACCCGTGTCATTGACTTCGATCAGGGAGAGGGAGTTGGTACTCCTCCCCTCACGATTTCTTGTCGGAGCCGATAGACGCTCCTTCTGTGACCGTTTCCGGCGGAAGTCAGCCTCCGCTACATTCCCATTAAGTCAGCAAACCCTTGATCGTGCTCTGACATGATGTCTGAAAAAGATGAATGGATGAATATGAAAATGATTATACTCACGGTCGTTTTCGTCAACCACCCGGCGGTGCTGGCACCGTTTTCTTTTTTGCCGACACGAGTCACAAACCCGCGTCAGCCTTTTGCCAGGCTGGAGGTGGGGATTTGGCGGTTGGAAACGTCTCTGGCAATTAGGAGAGATTTCAGCAGCGTATTTCTTCATTAAATATTGCTTGTTTTGTGGCGGGGGTTATGTTGAGGTAGAGGGGGAGGATTAAGGCATCAATAAAGAGGAAAAGGAAGAAGCTGAGATTGATGTAATGTTATTTCTGTCCTCACCTTTGTCCCTTTAGCATTTTGCTATTTGTTTTAAAAACAAAATGTGTTATCAGTTAATGTATGAACTAGGCAACACGAACCGCAGGAGAGAAAACACATAAGGAGTCTCACCCTTTTCTCCTGTGCAATCTGATAGCAGCCATGGCAGATGGGGGTATTGTACAAAATCTTTGTTGAAGGGTTTTGCCAGCACCGTGCGCAAAGCTCAGATTTTCCTTCGGTATGGCTAAAGTCATTGCTACGGCTGCCGCTGGGTTTCTGATCGTTTGATTTATGATTTTCATTTTCGCTTGCATTTTCATCTCCATCCTCATTCTCATTATCCTCGTAATCACCTTGATCTGAGCGGACGGAAGTAATACTCCCAAGAGAGCTGGAACGGTCATCGACTTCCACAGCTGCAATTTCTGCCATAACTGCCGCTGCTACCCTGCTCGGGCCATCGCTGCCATTTCTGCCTGAGAGAAAAATAGAGTTGACCTTTGAAGATGGATGCACGGTGTCATGGCATTTGAAACAGAGACCGGTCTCCTCAACAATGTTGTCTCTACTTCCAAAGCGACCACAATACGAACATCGACGGGTCATCGTACTGTCGTCTTCTGGTTCGGAGTCACTATGATTCCACATCGTTTTGGTCTCTGAGCGCTTGGATGGACTTTTGAAATTTCCCTATAGGGAAAGAGGTCATTTGGGACTTGGAGGGTGGGAGGGTGAAAATAAGGTAAATTTCGAAAGGGGTGCGGTGCGTGGTAAAGGTAAAGCAGCAGTCTCTTCTATGGATTTACCTTGATATAAGGGATTCCTTGTTGGCCTTCACGACTTCTGAAAAGACGACGAAGGAAATCTGGGCGAAAGTCGCCTGATATGGTCTTGCGCTCCCGATAAACTACCTCAAGTTGGAGATATTGAAGGCGTTAATGGAAAAAAGGGAAAATGAAAATACAAGGTGGAAGAATGACACAAGATGCCTGCATCCGCTATGATTTTGGTGCGTGAGAGTGTGAAAAGAGAGTGTCATGAGATTGAAAATGCAGGAATAAGAGATAAGGAGAAAGGAGCAAGGCTTTGTTGGTGAGGGTATTAGCTTTTGTTGAATGTGGTAATGGCTTCTGTGCAGATGCGAATTTGGCGTTCGCTTGCTGCTTGTTTGCTGTGTGATATGGAGAACAAGAAAGGTGGAAAAGTAAAGGGACATATATCCTTTGTTCCTCTGATCTTGAAATTCTTGGTTCAGAGAGGGTAAGTAACAGAGCTTAGAAAGTATGCGGGATAGTAACTTGACAGAGAGATATAATGAAATTATGACAGTGTTGTGTTGTATGTAAGTGAATCCTTCTAGGGCTTAAGAAAGAAGAAAAGGAAAACCAAAAGCACAATAATGATGGTTTTGATTTGTGGCTTCAGGAGATACATTATTCTGAAATCCTCGAGGTGACTGGTATCGTGGTGAATGAGATGACGAGTAGAGGCAGACATCTCCCACACAAAAAAACAGAAGTAAAAGAATACAGGTTAAGTAGCTCAAATGAATCAGATACCTTCTCCTCTTTCTCAATTCTCACAGGTGCTTTTAAAGAGCTCGAATATCTGACCTTCGTGCTTCTATCAAGCAAAGGGCCATCACTTCCGTCAAGGCCAAAGATCGATAGCCTCCCAAGTTCCATATTTGTAACCGGGATCAGGCACATTCGCGTCTATCTCTGCCTTCAGTTGGGTTAACGTCCACTGAACCCTCTTTGCTTCTTCTGGAGAAGTTAAATCGACCTTTTCAACCTCTTCGGGGACAATGACGATAACACGGAAATTTGCTCTTGCTATAGGATCGTGAAGGTCATCCACCATTTGACCTAGCTTGAGCAATGGATTTGCTGGTATTTCTGACATTGGAGTCCCAGGTGGCGGATTTTTGAAAGAGCCTATACAGAAACATAATTAATTTTGTTAATATGGTGGAAGGTTAGTTGCTTATGCATATCCGGTTTTGTTTTTCCCTTTAAAAGGGAAAAGCAAAAAGAAACAGCCGCAAAATCGGTGCGATTTTAGGAAGAAGGAATGGAAATTGGGGTAGGATATCTGAGGAGATGAGAGTATCTATTTTCTTTTGATCTTTTGTTCGAACAAGAAGAAAATGGGCATAGGGGTCAGAGATAGGGTTACCATCCTCATAACCAGGTACGTTTTTGCACTTAGCATTACGGCATGGTGCATGAAGAACAAACAATTAGCTGTAACATATGTCCATGATGCCGGAAAGAGGTGAAAATGAAGAAAACTAGGCGGAAGAAATCATCTTAATCATACCTCTCATTGTTGGACTCAAATTCGCAAAATGTGCCGTGATCTCCTTATCCCAACTCCATCTCTTCGTATCTTCATCCATGCTATCTCCTCTTCGTCGTACCCACGGCCAAATGTTTTCTCGGGCCTTGAGTTCGTCTGGGTCATCGCTATCACCGCCAACGATAAATGCCCGACCCTTAATTCTCCACTGCGTCATCACATCTTTGACCCAAAAGACTGCCTCAACTCTCCCACCACCTCCACTTTCAACACCACTACAGCTTCCATCATAGTATGAGAATATCTGAGCAATCTTTTCCATTCTGACATCGGTGGTAAAGGTCAAAAGATCACTTTCGTAAGTATTTGGGTTTATTCCACCCTCATTAGAAGTATTTCCATCCTCTAGAAGCAGGTGTTTGGCGGCTTCTCCCAAGCGTAGCTCTGTCCAAAAGCCACGGAAGATGCATGTGCGCACACGGGGGTGTATAACGCCGCTGCTGTCTCTATATACAGTTGACAAAGAGAACTCGGGTGAGACCAGCTTTGACATATGGGATTGAAAGAGGGGCCGCCACGTCGCCCTAGATGGCGGAGGAAACTGAGAAGGTCGCTGTGAAGCCATGAATATATATGCGTGATAGCGCTTGGGGTATAGATTATAAAATT